TGAGTGCAATGTTTCTGGTAGCGCGCTGCGCGTTGTTTTACATCACGTCTGTTTGGTTAACTGTGGTGATGAATCATTGGCGGAATATGACAGTGACAGTTTCGGCGGCGCTTTCTCAAATGCCTCTTGTCGTCCCATAATGTGGAAAAGTATTCTCAATAGGAGGTGTAGGTTTTTTTAAAAATCAAAGCTATAGTAATATTGTGCTGGTAGCTAGCTCATGTTATTGACTGTGTAATAATGAAAGAAGAAATGATTTCTCGGTTTTTCAGCCTTTAGGCTTCTACGCAGAGCTTCGCTTGCACTGCGTCCCCGTCGACGCCGTCAAATGCCGTCTAGCGCTTGCTGCTCGAATTGTTATACAAAATACTCCATTCTCAACCCGGAAGTAAGTCAAGCTTTTCTGATATTTTTCTCCTGAAGCGGGCTGATTGACTTTACAACTTGTCAACTTAGGAGACTGCAAGGTGCATGCATAAGCCCACAGTAGTCTTATTTGTTAGAGAGTATCCATTTATTGATTAACATGGTTTTCCATTTGATCGTTTCATGAATCACTAATGTTTCGGCGCTGTTCGACTTGAGATGGGCATTTTGCACTTCAGGTAGTCCCTCACGCTAGTCCATGTTAACAGGTTGCACTTGGTGGGACCAGCTAAATTCTGTGAAGCTGAGGAATCGAATAAGAGAGCCACTTCGGTTACAAAAATTTACAAGTGTTCTCTCGAGATGGCCTGAACCAGCTTCGCTAAGCACCATTAGGTGCTCCCATCGGGCAGAAATGCACCGAGGTTTGTAGTGGTAAGGGAAAACGGGAATTTCGGAAGCACACTCTGTTTCGGCTATGATCTGCATTTGATAAGTATTTCTTGCACCTTTGCCCTTACGTGTTCACTTATTCTTTACTGCTGCTTCCCACTGTCATCTGTGAACGCTATAAGATGGTCCATTTTGCTTTACTCATTTCGGAGCCTATGACATCCCCCTAGGCTAAGTCAAAAGTAATCCTGAATGCAATCGATTAATAACCTTACCATACTGGAGTAAGGCCCATTTGCAGCCCACATGAAATGTTTCCCCACATTTTTCGTCCTCATAGATGTCCTGCACATGAGCAGTAAGTACTGATTGACTGTTTCCTTAAGTTTCCCAGTACCCTCCGCGTTAATTGAACGTTCAGGCGCCTTTTTCGGACAAGGTAGTGCTGTCCGCGAGCGTGGAGGATGACTACTCACGCCGCTCTTCGAGCTGAGTTCAGCGATGAAGAGGAAAGATACGTGAGGAAAGCGATGCCTGCTCGCGACGGGACCATGGCTCCGCCCACTGGCCACGGCAACGCCCAGCTTTCATTTCCAACTGCAGCTTGGAGATTGTTCCGCTGGTTGCTCTTCATGTCGAATGGTGAGAGGTATAAGGAGAAGGAGTCGGCACAAACAAGTGAGATCTCGTCCGACGACGCCCCTCTCTTCGCCTCAAGCAGAGCACGGTTCAGCATGGGACTCTAATTGGGGCATTTCGGGCGGATTTTGCTGCTTTATTCTGCTTTTCAACTTTGTTATTTGCCATCATTGCTTTAGTATTTTGACGTCGCACTGATCGCTTCTCTGAGTAAGCGTTCCTTTTGCCGGCAAAGCAAATGTAGTCATGCTGCTTTGAAAGCTGTGAATTAGTAGATGAAACAATTTCCGCCGTTGTTGTCAGGTAAGGCCTGTTTGCACCAACTTGTGCATTCTCTTCTGCGGAATGTTTGCCGCTTAATCGGGCAATCATACCAAAATATGCCAACAAACCGTCACCGTCTGCGCACGATGTTTTGAAAAACTCAACGCTAAGACATTGGAAAATCAAGAAAAGGATGGCACCATGGTAAAACTTGCTCAAACTTGAAAATGCATTGTTTTTTTTTCCAAAAGTCACGTTTTCTCATGTGAGCGGTGACCGATGCAGCAGTTCTGTGCTTGAGCTGCGCTTCATTGTCCGCTCACTCCTATCCAATAACCAGCATGATTTTGTTGACACAGGCCTTGTTAATATGCTGCTGAAAATGAATTGCAAAATTTTCTTCCGTAGAAAATCGGTACTACAATTATAGATTATTCGAACTTCAGATTACAAGAATACCAATCGCTGATCCACCGAAAGCGCCACATTCAGGAGCGGCCAGCACGTCTTCAACGAATTGGTGGGGTGATGGATTACCTCCACCATCATTCAGGAGTGCTGCGGGTATGTCTTACAACGTTTAACACAAGCTTTCCGAAATGCAGACCTTAATTGAATCACTTTCAATAATTTTTGGCACGAGAATTTTTCACATTACCTAGCCACCGTTTCTGTCTCATGCTCGAATTTTTTTTCAACGCTTGTTTCCTGTAGGTCAACCACAACCCAGACCCCGGGTCTCGCACCATGCAAGGAAGGTGGAAGATGTTAGACAACCACCTGCTAATAAGGACACAGCTGATCTGGAAACAAGGTTGAAGAGAACCCGTGAAGAAGGTGAGCAGATTCTGTCGTACTTACTGTTTAATACGGTGTGAGCACTAGTACCGTATTCAGTGTACCCTGTACTGCACATATTCCAGAAGACCCCTCCAAGGTCCTGACACTCACTGAGATCGAGGAGCGTTTGGCTGCCTTGCGAGGTTGTGATGTCGAGCTCATTCGTCGTCCACGCTGCGTGAGTTGCATAGCTTTGCTCTGTACATCGTGCGTCTAGTTCGCTACTGATGATGGGCGTGCCAGGAGGATGGTGCTAAGCGCTACGCAAGCCCGTTTCTTTCTTTTTTCTTTCGACAAGCGACAAGACCGTGTCATATCGCTCGTACTAGTCGTTTTCGACCCGCTGCCCGCTACAGCAACCGATAAAAATTTCTCACTACTCCTGCGTCTTGGTTTACCGAGTTCCAAGAGTTTA